TGATTGGGTATAGGGAGTTTTCAGTTAAGTAATTATATATTGATCTTGCCAGTACTCATGTGCGGAGCTTGAACGTTGTTGGAGGGCATGTAACTGGTTGATAATTACTGGATTCATTGCCCTTTTGATGATCATTTATTATCAGAAATGTGCAGCCTGTTGTCATCCAGTCTTCAGTTGTAGAATTTTGAAGTAAGTGGCTAAATTGCACTGCTGTATGTTGATGGAGACTTGTTAGATACTTTAACCAAAATCCATGCAGCTCATCTGGACCAGGTGCACTCCAGTTTTTCACAGCCTTTACTTTCCTCTTAATCATTTCAGTTGTCATTACAATATCATTCATTTGTTTTCCTTGAGTTTCTTTAGAAATGTCTTTAATGCATGAGGCATTTTTGTTATGTCTGGTTGGGCTTTCCCAAATTTCTTTCCAAAATTTTAGGGCATCATCTTTACATGGGCCTAATTTCTTTTGCTCTGCATTTTCTCCTTGTGACGTATAGGATAATCGTTGGTTATTTTGAAATTGGGTGTTTTCTCTATTTTGTTTCAAGTGTCCATCATATATTTCAATTTTCTTTGCTGTAGCTGTTACCCACTGTTTTAATTCTTCCGTCGTTTCAACAGTCATTTTCCTTTCTAGGTCATATATTTTTCATAGTCTGGCTTTTACTTTTTCATTTTTAAATTTTAAATCTTGCAAGTGTTTTAAGTTGCTAATGTCTGCACATAATTTGTTTATTTTTCTTTCCAGCCAAATTTTTCATTTTGGGGTGCCACAAATTTTCTATTATTTTTTGCATCTTGTAACCAAGTTTCATAATTATTATGGTAGCTGTGCTGTACACGAGCTGGTTTGTTTCCTTTAATGTGTTGGTTGGGATTGTTCTGATGGCAATATTTGCATCATTCAGTAGATCTTTTACTGGTTTACTTTGTAATTGGCAGAAATTGGGGAACATTTGTCTTTGTCTTTCTGTGTTCTGGCTAATACGGGTTACTATTTTCCCTCTCAGTGATGTTTGCTGTTCTGTCAACTCATAATTTCTGGGTTATTCCACAAGCTGTTCCTCTATTGATACGTTTTCTTCAACTATTGTATCTACCTCTACCCTCCATTTATCTTCCAGATTATTGTGATTTCTACCTCTACCCTCCATTTATCTTCCATATTATTGTAATTGTTCTGTGTTGTTTTTGCCAATTATTATTGATTTTGCTCATTATTATTATTACTTTGCCAATTGTTGTTATTGGACAAGACATCTGTCTTCAAATATTTGGAGAACTGTCTTGCAGAAGATGTAACAGGCTTGTTCTCTTTTGCCTTGGAGGGCAAGACTAGGAACTAAATGAATGGTTGGGAATGGTGAGAAAACAGAATTTAGCTGTGCATTAATAGGTACTTACTGTAGTAAGAACTGTTTGATAGGAAGCCACCCTTTTTCAGGGTGTGGCGAGCTCTCCTTTGTTGCAGGTGTTTATACTAAGGCTGACTAGAGGCAGCAATGGCAGAGAATATGACCTCCAAGCTTTTTGGAGCTATCCATTTGTTTGTTTGTTCGATTTCATTTTTATACCACCCATCAAGCCGTGGGCCGCTCTGAGTGGTTTACAACAAACCATACATGCTTACCTCAGTTTATGTATGCCTTGGTTTAGGTAATTTTCAGTTTATGAACCCAAATCCGTAAGAAATACAGTGGTGCCCCGCATAGCGACGTTAAACTGTTCCGCTGAAATCGCTGCAGAATGAAAACGTCGCTATACATTTAATGTGTTCCTATGGGCTTAAAACTCACCTTAAAGCGAAAATCCTCCATACGGCAGCCATTTTCGCTGCCCGGTAAGCGAGGAATCCACGCGAAAACACAGCGGGTGGCCATTTTTTTACCCGGCGGTCATTTTGGAACCGCCAATCAGCTGTTAGAAAATCATTGCTTTGTGATAATCGGTAAGCGAAACAGCGTACCGATCATCACAAAGCGATTTTTCCCTATTTAAGACATCGCAATGTGATCGCAAAAGCGATCGCAAAAACATCGTTGCTATGAGGTTTCGTCGTTAAACGGGACACCCTTTAAGCGAGGCACCATTGTAATGCCTCAGTTTGTTTTTTTACCGGTGTGTGTGTGTGGTTTGTTGTTGTACAACAAGGATGCATCACGCCTGGAAGATGCTAGCACCACCCCTATTGCTAAGGCACTCCGCGTTCCAGTTTATGTAATTTCCGTATTACGTAACGTCCTAGATGACAGATTAATTTCATAAACCAAAGTACTACTGTACAATAGCATAATTAAATAACTAATTTGACAAACCCCAAAATGGAAAATACAAAAACTGTGGCATCAAAGTGCATTAAAATACAATTATATAAAAACATTTAAAGTGGTGGAATTATTCAAATTAAGGCTGAACAAATTCAGTCGAGTCCACAGATAGTGGTCTGGAATGCCTGAATAGCAGGGTTTTTTAGTGACTTTTTAAAAATCACCAGCAAAGGGGCCAAACAAATTGCAGGAGGGAGCCAGGGAGCAACCACCAAGAAGGCCCAGTTTTTTGTCTTCTCCCTCTGAACATCTCTAGGAGTTAGGATTCTCAGCTGACCTGCTTGGGATGTTCATGTAGGATGGGCAAGTCCAGTGGAAGTAGACATTCTAACTACTGTCCTTCACTGTTAAAGGTTGGGTTGGAAATAAATACGGGATGTGGTGGCGCTGTGGGCTAAACCGCAGAAGCCTGTGCTGCAGGGTCAGAAGACCAGCAGTCATAAGATGGAATCCACGCGATGGAGTGAGCTCCCGTCGCTTGTCCCAGCTCCTGCCAACCTAGCGGTTCGAAAGCATGCAGATGCGAGTAGATAAATAGGGACCACCTCGGTGGGAAGGTAACAGCGTTCCGTGTCTAAGTCGCACTGGCCATGTGACCACGGAAGATTGTCTTCGGACAAACGCTGGCTCTATGGCTTGGAAACGGGGCTGAGCACCGCCCTCTAGAGTCGAACACGACTGGACAAAAATTGTCAAGGGGTACCTTTACCTTTACCTTTGGAAATAAATATTGCTTCTTGGTATGCTCAGGTTGGAATCTTAAGCCTGCGAATGGGCAAAATATGGTGCTGAAGCTGCATTGGGCTGTCCAAGTATGTTTTTGCAGTCCTCTGATGGTTGGTGAGAAAAAGAATAAATTTAAGTTCCAAAAACTCCCAGGAGTAGCCACTTACCTTTTTAAATACATCACGGCCTACCTTCCTTAAATGCCCCAAAATAGAAGTTTTTAAAACTGAGACTTTCTAACCACTTCTGGTTTCTTCCCTCTACCTCCATTTTTATTAATTGACTTCCTGACTGATTGACTGTAGTTCATTCAGTGCCTGGCAGCAAAGGTATTAACTATTGTTTTAAACAAATTAAATAATTATTTTTGTTTCTACTGGCATGCTGTGCACTGAGTTGTGGATACTTCTTGGATACTTTTTTTATTTGAATGGTTCCCTTTGCGCTCCATTAGCGCTTCTCTAATTTGGTGGTGAAAACCTGGGGTTGGGGGTCAATGTAGTCATTAGATTTGCAGCTCTTGTGAATAAATCTAATTATCAGTCCTGGTGATACTTTACTCATATTGAAATGTCGGAGGATTATGAAGGCAATAACAATACTCTGACCATAAAATAGCAGCAGTATTTAGAGTAAGGTTATCATATTGTCTTACTACTTCAGAAAATCATACTGAAGAGAAGGGACTATGTTAGAGGAGACTAGTACTGTATATGAAATATGTTAGCCGCCTAGAGTGGTCGAAATGACTAGATAGGCGGGGTATAAATACAATAAAATAAATAAATAAATTAAATCTGTGGTCTGCTAGTTACAGCATCATTTGTTTTTAGAATGCTATCCTTTGGAGTATGTGGATTGATAAACTGGAGGACCTGGCAGAAGGTACATCAGGACTCCATGTTGTAGAAAATTTCATGCATCTGCTTCGCTTCATGACTCCATTGTACAAATAGCCAAAAACAGACTGATTTGTTTCAAGAATAGAAATTTTTGAGGATTGGTGTAATATGTGAATCTCCTACCGAACAAAATTTAAGCCACTGTGTACCATCTTTGTACCTGGCTGGATAGTTTAGTGGTTGCGGAGGCAGATGTTGAGAGTTCAGTTCCCTGCAGTACAGTGGTGCCTCGCTTGACGATATTAATTCGTTGCAGCAAAATCGCTGTAGAGCGAAAACATCGTCAAACAAAATAAGAAAGCCCATTGAAATGCATTAAAACCCGGTTAATGCGCTCCAATGGGCTGAAAACGCCCCGTCCAGCGAAGATCCTCCATAGGGGGGCCATTTTCTTCAGCCAGCAGCCATTTTGAAACCCGACGATCAGCTGTTTTTGATCGTCGTAAAGTGAAAATGGGTTCCCGAAGCAGGGAACCGATCATCGCTAAGTGAAACTCCCTCATTTAGACCATCATTTTGCAGTCGCAATTGTGATCGCAAAAACCTCATCATAAAGCGATTTCCTCGTTAAGCAAGGCAATTGTTAAGCAGGGCAGGACTGTACCTGCTATGATTAGAGCCGGTCCGTGTGACCTTGGGCAAGCTGCGCAGTCCCAAGATGCTCCCAGAAGAAGGGAATGGAAAACCACTCCAGAGTATTCTCTACCTGCAAAACCCTGGAAAAGGTTGCCAGTAAGAAATGACTTGATGGCGCATGATTATTGTTATTATTAGTATATATCTTTGTGGGACTGAATCATTAGTGATGTTCCACTCAGCTAATCCTGGGAGATGTGAAAGGGAATTTGCTCATAAAGTTCCACTCAGCTAATCCTGGGAGATGTGGAAGGGAATTTGCTCATAAACAGCTAAAACACAATAAGGCTACGTATTTTGTTGAACATGCTTGGATTTGTATCATGAGTCTTTTAGTCTTTATGGTGTTCTAATACTGCTCTCTCAAGAATTTAAATTATGTTTTTACTTTTCTTGCTCACAGATTATGTCTATTTTGAAAACTCTTCAAGCAATCCATATCTGATAAGGCGAATAGAAGAACTTAATAAGGTAATCCTTTTGTGCTCCTTGATGTGGAATTGATGTGCTTCCCAGTAAAAAGAAAATGTCTTAATTCTGTCTCAAATGTGGAAATCACATTCGCCTCCCCCCCCCGGCTCTCGTGTGGGCTGTGTGAAGAAGCTCCTTTGTAGAGATGTTTTATGAATTTAGAGGATGAAATGTACTTTAATCTGTATGATAACTGAACAATAAGGGAACGTTTGGCTTTGATGAGCTTTTCTCAAGATCCTTTCATGATTGTTAGTAGCCTAAATAGATAGGGTAAAACCTCCTCTGGATTATCTGGAGATGTATCAACAGAATATTTGGTAGCACACAGTGGAAACTAATGACTGGATTATCATACAGAGGATGGCAGAATGTCAGGAAAAGAGTCATGGGGGGGAGCGAAACAAGGGGCTGTTGAACATAGTCTGCAAAGATGATCCTGCCAGTGATGAGGTGTATTGGTGACATTTTTTATGGTAGGACCAAGCATTGCCCCCCTTTTGTGAGGAGTAACTCCTCAAGCGTGTTGCAGCCTCTGCTGGATACATCTTTGGGATATATAAATGTTTAGCCTTTGCATGTCCTCCTGATGGTGTTGCTTTTTTTCTCAAACATCATATGTTTTCTAAGTCAGAAGTTGGGAAAAGTGCATTTTTTGGACTACAACTCCCAAAATCACCAAGGTGTCTGGGAAATTCTGGGTAGTCCGAAGATTTAACTTTCCAAAGCAACATTCCCTCTAAGCTGCATGGGTTCATGGGTATGCAATACTGTATTGGTTCCACACACCCTCAGTTAGTGTTGTTGCACATTTAATTCCAGTCGCAGCTGGAACTTTACTTGCACTGGGTAGGGTTTCCGCTCAGTGCGGGTGCAAAATTAGAGGGAATTTTGTTCCAAGCTTCATTTTCTGGCTTTCAGCTGGGAACCAGATATCATCCTCCTCTTCCTAGGCTTTATTAGTCTCAGTGGATGGGTCCATGAGAGATCCAGATAATTTCCTGTTTTATGTAAGATATCTTTGTAAACATAAATTCTTTAGGCACCCCAAGCCCCCCCCCCAATTTCAACAACACTTGTGTGTGTTTAGTCGTTTAGTCGTGTCCGACTCTTCGTGACCCCATGGACCAGAGCACGCCAGGCCCTCCTGTCTTCTACTGCCTCCCAGAGTTGTGTCAGGTTCATGTTGGTTGCTTCGCAGATACTGTCCAGCCATCTCATCCTCGGTCGTCCCCTTCTCCTCTTGCCATCACACCTTCCTAACATCAAGGTTTTTTCCAAGGACTCTTTTCTTCTCATGAGATGGCCAAAGTACTGGAGCCTCAGCTTCAGGATCTGTCCTTCCAGTGAGCACTCAGGGTTGATTTCCTTTAGAACTGATAGGTTTGTTCTCCTTGCAGTCCAGGGGATTCTCAAGAGCCTCCTCCAGCACCACAATTCAAAGGCATCAATTCTTTGGCGGTCTGCTTTCTTTATGGTCCAGCTCTCACTTCCATACATCACGACAGGAAGAACCATAGCTTTGACTATTCGGACTTACTGGGTCAGAAAAGGTACAGAGGTAGTATTCCACCGAGCTGATAGCACACTGCATTGAAAGTTCCTATTTGTTCTTGTTGCTGCATGCTATCAAACCACTTATGTGTTATCCTATGAATTAATGACATCCAAAAGGTGCTATCATTAACAACCCTTTTTAGGTCTTGCAAGCTAAAGGCGATGACTTCCTTTTTGAGTCTGTCCATCTAATGTAAAGTCTTCTTTTCATATTGCCTTCTACTTTTTATAGCATTATTGCTTTTCTTTTCTTTTTTAAATTGAGTCCTATCTTCTGCTATGTCTGAAGTATGGTAGCCTGGGTTTAATCAGTTTAGCTTCTAGTGCTGCTGCTCAAGGAGTGAGAGTTCAGTGAAAGTTCAAGTTTAGTATAATCTACAGATGCGGGAGACCTGGGTTTGAATCCTCACTTTGCCATAGAAACTCACAAATGTCTCTGTAGAAATGGTAAAACCATTCCTTAAATATCTTGAAAGTGCTATTAAGGTTACTACAAATTGATTCTAGGTGACACCACGAAACACAGTAATTTAGAACTTACTTATTTGTCCTCTTGGCAGTCAATGAGATTTGTGAAGCTCTTTTCCAATACTGAATTTTGAATGATTTTTTTCCTCCCCAACTGTCTTTATTGGGAAAAACCATAGCTTTGACTATTCGGACTTACTGGGTCAGAAAAGGTACAGAGGTAGTATTCCACCGAGCTGATAGCACACTGCATTGAAAGTTCCTATTTGTTCTTGTTGCTGCATGCTATCAAACCACTTATGTGTTATCCTATGAATTAATGACATCCAAAAGGTGCTATCATTAACAACCCTTTTTAGGTCTTGCAAGCTAAAGGCGATGACTTCCTTTTTGAGTCTGTCCATCTAATGTAAAGTCTTCTTTTCATATTGCCTTCTACTTTTTATAGCATTATTGCTTTTCTTTTCTTTTTTAAATTGAGTCCTATCTTCTGCTATGTCTGAAGTATGGTAGCCTGGGTTTAATCAGTTTAGCTTCTAGTGCTGCTGCTCAAGGAGTGAGAGTTCAGTGAAAGTTCAAGTTTAGTATAATCTACAGATGCGGGAGACCTGGGTTTGAATCCTCACTTTGCCATAGAAACTCACAAATGTCTCTGTAGAAATGGTAAAACCATTCCTTAAATATCTTGAAAGTGCTATTAAGGTTACTACAAATTGATTCTAGGTGACACCACGAAACACAGTAATTTAGAACTTACTTATTTGTCCTCTTGGCAGTCAATGAGATTTGTGAAGCTCTTTTCCAATATTGAATTTTGAATGATTTTATTTTTCTAGTTTTCACTTTTGTACATAGTAATCAAGATGACCATAGCATGGGTCATCTTGACCTTGGTTTCCTGTGATATATTCTTACTCTAAATGATCTTTTCTAGTTCCTTCATAGCTGCCCTTCCAAATCCCCATCAGCAGTTTCCATAATGAGATTTGTGAAGCTCTTTTCCAATATTGAATTTTGAATGATTTTATTTTTCTAGTTTTCACTTTTGTACATAGTAATCAAGATGACCATAGCATGGGTCATCTTGACCTTGGTTTCCTGTGATATATTCTTACTCTAAATGATCTTTTCTAGTTCCTTCATAGCTGCCCTTCCAAATCCCCATCAGCAGTTTCCATTTTCACTGGTGACTGATGGAAGGTATAAAGTAGGAACGGGGGACAAGGGGGCATGGGATAAACAGGGGGTGCAAATCAACATAAACATTTTAAAATATTAATTCTTCTCTTTTACATTTCAAAGATACATAGGTTCCTGGTATAACTTAATTATAATACACATTCTATTTCTAAACTGATCATAGGCTTTCAATTATGTGATTGAATTTGCATTCTATTTTTTGAGCCAGTCATAAAATTTATACCAACACTTTAAACAGCTTTGATACCTTCATCATCAACATTAAAGTTACCTATCTTTTTCTGTACACATTTCAATGCAGTTGTAATCCAGGTTTTGCACTTCTTTCTTTCACCTTTGTCAGTAGTTTTTCTTTTCCCCTGCCTCCAACGTGGGCTGTCAAGCTGTTTAACTTTCTTGAGTGCTCATGTTGCCTGCATGATCAGAAGTAGTCGTTCAGTCAAGTTAGTTTAAATCTTCATTCATCCACCCAATTACATAGGAGTCAGCCCTAAGGAACCAAGTAGGACTTAGTCTGTATAGACACGAGTAAGACTGCGATATTAGTGAATGAGTTTAGCTGTTGTAAGCAGGATATTGTAAGCATGGTTGACAAGTTGTTACTTATACAGATCTATAATCTAGGCATGAATTTCTTCCTTTTTCTTCAATATTTAATTTACAGATTTGTTAAAAAAAAGAGGGTCATGTTAATATGAGTACTTCTAAAAACTGCAGATGGCTAGTACCAAGAAAGGTCAGTGTGGACAGAAGCAATAAATGGTAGTGGTTTAATCCAGTGGTTCTTAACCTTTTTGAAAGAAACGCCCCCTTGAGCCATTGAGGAAGTTATCATCGCCCCCCTCCCTGAGGTGATATCTTACCTACCTACCTACCTACCTACCTACCTACCTACCTACCTACCTACCTACCTACCTACCTACCTACCTACCTACCTACCTACCTACCTACCTACCTACCTACCTAGTTAGTCTCCCTCCCCACCCGGGTGCGAGGCAGCGCTTCACGGGGCGAGGATGAGGACCCAGGAGACCCTTTCCTTCCACCCGATCCACACTCAGTGCTCCCCTAAAGGAGAAAGGCAAGACGTGGCAGGTAGAAAGAGCTGGATCATCTGGCGGCAGCAGCAGCACCGGATCTACTGCCAGCACTGTGGCTGCACTCGCCTTCACAGGTTTGGCTTGCTCCAGCGCCCCCCTACTGCTCCCCTTCTGTTCTTTCGCCCCCACACCAACCCTTTTCGTTCTACTGCCCCCCTGAAAAATGAAATCGCTCCCTGGGGGGCATTATTGCCCACGTTAAGAACCACTGGTTTAATCAGTAGTGGTTTCGAGTCATTGTGTTATCTCAGTAATATGAGTACATGCAATGTGGCCTATAGGAAATGTAGGCCTTTTGTCTCAATGTGTTCCCAGATTTCCAGGAACTAGACATCTGTTGTGAGACCCTGAAATTCATATAGAGGCTTCACTTAACTATAAATTATGGAAGGGAGCTTTTTATTGATTTACAAAGCAGACCACCCAGTAATTTGGGAGAAACAAAGCTTGATGGCATCGATTGACCAAGAAATGTGGAAAGTAAGTCTAATAACGTCCAGTGATTAAAAAACAACAACAATCTACATTTATCTTTGGGGGAGGCTTAATGCACTGCGGATTTATGAAGGACCTTGCATTTACCATACCAAAGTTTTATTGGTACCTGTGTTTCACTCTCTCCTGTATTCATGTTTTATTCATTCATTCATTCATTCATTCATTCATTCATTCATTCATTCATCCTCTTGTTTTCCAGACTGCCAATGGCAATGTGGAAGCAAAAGTGGTGTGTTTTTACAGACGCCGAGACATCTCCAATAGCCTCATTATGCTTGCAGATAAACACGCAAGTAAGTTGATTATATTATTTAAAAATGGATTGCTGAATTCAGCTGGTTCAAACTGTGCATGTATCTGTGCTTAATGCATATGTGCAGGCTCTAGAAATCTGAATACAAACGTGATTTAACCATGCACTCTTGCTGTTGATGAGATATATATTGTGAAGCGAATTTCGGTTCATGATTTTTCACTCTTATTAACATATACTATGGTTAGAAGCATTTTGAGCTGACCCTGTGTGTTAATAATACACTGTTAAAGACAGTATTTATCTTATGAGGTCTCCACTTTTTTCATCCATAATGTGGTTCATAACTTTGTTATATGAGTAGCTTTGTTTAGCAATATCAAGTACTTTTGTATTTTTCTCTATTTTTGTTCTTTTGTATTTTTATTATTGTTATTACTACTAGTTGTAGTGGCGGCAGCAGTATAGTACCGTTTTTGCCGGCGTACAAGACAACTTTTGGGGCCCAAAAAACATGCCTCCAAGTGGGGGGGTCGTCTTGTACGTCGGGTGCACTGAATGACGCGGGGCTGCGCTGGCCGGAGAGGAAGGCAGGCAGTCAGTCAGTCGGTCTGTATGGAGGGAGGGAAGCACAGCCTGCCATGCCTGAGCGGCTAGAGCCCGCCGCCAGGCTGCCCGCTGCCCCGTGCCACTGAGCCAGCTTCACGCTCGCTCGCCCGCCCCCGCCCGTTGCCCTTTTCCTCCTCCTCCTCGTCAGCCTCTTGCCTTCTTCACCATCATCATCAGGGCTTTGGAATAATATCAAGAAATTTCACACACTATTATAAGGAGATGCAGATTTCAGAAATAACATCAGCAGAGCTACAAAAAACCAAAATATTAGGAACAGTATATATTCAGCCCAGTAATTACGAGATACTTAGGTTTTTGGTTAAAACTTGTATCTGTTACATAAGACCAAACAATGTTTTCATAATTTCGATTGACTGTCTGGTATTTTTGAGTAATAATGATGGTGATGATGGATCCTCAGAAAAGTTAATCTCAGAAGTACCCATGTTAGCTTGAGTATCCTTAAAAAGGAACTGGTTAATTTAATGAAACAGAATAAAATGTTGAATGAAATATTGATTACATAAGTAGAACAAAATATTCATTGGCTCTTAGTTGTATGGTACATTTACATGTAGTAATTTATGGCTTAAGTTGTTTTAGGATACTGTTATAAAAATTCTTCCAGGAGACAGAAAGCAGACACCAGGCCTGGGCACATTGGGAGGGAGAGAAGAGAGGAGGGTTGCGTATGTGGGGGTTTGAAGACTGAGGATTCACTTCAAACCTGGGAGGGAAGAAAAAAAGAATATATACAAGAAAATATGAAGGTGAATAAAAAAGTGAACGAAGATGGCAGAGGAATCGTGTGTGTTAATGTTGGGAATTATATTTTTGCCTTGGAGTCTTGTGATTAGTGATGGACTTGATAGTTGTGAAGAAAATGACAGTGGCAGTAGATAACAGCAGAAGTATTATATTTGGTAATGACCAAGGTTCCTGCTAAGCTGGGAGCATGTGCACAACTCCACTTCCCTCTGCGCAGCTGTCTTCCTCCTCCGTGCAGTGATCACGTTAGGTTCTGGTCTTGATGAACCAAGTGCGCGGGGTGGAGTTGCACGTGCATGAAGAGGCGGCGCCCCACTCAACGGGGTTGAAAATTAGAGGGTACATTGGTAATGATGTAAGAAACCTAGGCTTATATCCATTTATATGGGTGTCCAGCAAAGCAAAGCAGAGTGTGCTGCTTATATACCACCCCATAGCGCTTCAAGCACTCTCTGGGTGGTTTACAAGTTAATTATGCAGGCTACACATTGGATTGAATCCCAGGTCGTGAGCACAGTTTTGGCTGCAGTACAGTGGTTTAACCACTGTGCCACGAGGCTTATAAATTTTATCTCAGCTGTTTCTCTCTTTATTCTTGTTTGGTAATGATTCTGTTCTAAAATACTGACTTTCAGTTCTTCTGTGGAGTGTCGTGGTAGATTGAAATGGTTGGAGACAGGTTTCTGTGTATTGTGGTTTCTGATATCAGATTTGTGACCATTGACCTGTTTCCGTAGAGATTGTCCTGTTTGTCCTATGTAGTAGAGTACAGAGGGGCATTATCTGCAAGAGATGGTATAGATCACATTATCTGAGGAGCAAGTGAAGTGGCCTTCGATATTTTGTGTGGCATTGTTAGGTCTCATGATTGTGTTGCCAGAATAGATGTGTGGACATAGTTGGCATCTGGGTCAGTAGCAGGGTTCTAGGGCCTAAGCGCAACAACTGAGAAGGCCCTCTTTGAAGTCCCCATCAGATAGTCTCTGAAGGTACAGTGGACCCTCAACTTACAGACGGCTCGACTTACAGACTTTTCGAATTACAGACTTCTCTGGCCGCAAAATTTAGATTCGACTTGCAGCCGGAGAATTGACTTACAGTCCAGAAAAAAACCAAAATGGAACAAAAATAGAATACAAACTGCTAGTTATGCGATTAATCGGTTTTCAATGCATTTTAGGTCAATGGCGATTCGACCTACAGACTTTTCGACTTGCAGCCACCGTTCCAATACGGATTAATTCCGTAAGTAGAGGGTCCACTGTAGTAGGACTGTGAGGAGGACCTCTTGTGTAGATCTTAAAGACTAGCTGTCTTGAGTCCTTTTTAAGAAGAAAGGCAGGATACAAATATTTCAAATAAGCAAATAAATAATAGGCAGGGTTGTATGGGTTAATCTGGATCCAAATGGTTTTATAAATTGTAACCATCACTTTAAATTGTGCCCATAGACCGACTTGGTTTGGAATCTTTGCTGTTTCTATTCTAAAGAGAGTAGCCAGTGAAACTGTTAGAATGAGTTACATGTTCCTTATAACTAGCCACAATCAGCAATCTGGCTTCATAGGTTTAATTTCCAAACACCTCCAGAAATAGATGCAACTGATGCACCAGTTTTAACTGTCCAAGTGTCCTCTGGGGTACTGCCAAAACTTGAGCATCCAGGTTCAGGGATGAATTCACAGAGTACACCTTTCAGAGACAGTGTTACCCCCATACAGCACAGATTGAGTTCCTTTTCCCAGGTCTGTCTTTCAGTTGACCAGGAGCACTTCTGCCTTGTTTGGATTGAGCTTCAACTTGGTCACCCTCATCTAATTTGTTACTGATTCCAGACTTTGGTTTAGCATGGAAACAGCTTTCTGAGGTTTAGTTGGAAAGGAGACATAGAGCTGGGTGTCATAAATATTTTGGTGTTAGTAAAGGTAAAGGTTCCCCTTGACATTTTCAGTCCCCTCGTATCCGACTTTAGGGGCGGTGCTCATCGCGTTTTAAAGTCGTAGAGCCAGCGCTTGTCCGAAGACAGTTTCCATTGCCATGTGGCCAGTGTGACTAGGGAATGCTGTTTACCTTCCCACCGAGGTGGTACCTATTTATCTGCTTCCATTTGCATGCTTTCGAACCGCTAGGTTGGCGAGGAGCTGGGACAAAGCAACGGGAGCTCACTCCGTCGCGTGGATTCGATCTTATGACTGCTGGTCTTCTGACCCTGCAGCACACAAAGGCTTCTGCGGTTTAGCCCACAGCGTCACCACGTCTTGGTGTTACCAGACTCTAAAACTCTGGACAGCTTCTCCTAGCAGTTTCATGGGACAAGAGATAAGTACTGTATCTTTGAGAGACACCATAAGCCAGTGGTGTCCTCCAATACCATTTTGTTGGATTGCCCCTCCAGAAAGGCCTGGAACCACTGTAAAACGTTGCAATCAAGTCCCATCCCAAGAGAGATGGCTCAGAAGGATAATGTGGTTGAAAGAACTAAGAGGGGCCCTCTCCCTGCCCAGTTCCTGCTTAGGTCACCTGTCAAGGTAATCAACCTCTTTCCATTCCAGAGCTTGGCTTGAAGCCAGATTGAAGTGGATATACATTATCACTTGCTTGAGCTCCTTGCTCCAAAATGGAGTATTAGATATTAGCTGGTAGTTATCTAGCATGGGGAATTCAAGGAGGGCTTTGTAAACCATGCTTTTATTACTGTCTCCTTTAGGCAGATTGGAGCCTTCTTGAAGAGAGGCATCCCCACTTCCTTTACCCATTTGGCCAAATTTCCCCTGGCTGCTTTAATGAGACAGTTTGGGCAAGCCCCCACCTTTCCTAATAAAAGGGAAACAACAGAAAGAGGTGTAGGCATTGGTGGCAAAGGTAAAAGGAAGAAGAATACACAGTTGCTTAAATTACATGTACAGTGGTGCCCCGCATAGCGAGGTTAATCCGTTCCGGATTAACCTTCGCTATGGGGAAACATCGCTATACGGAACAGAAAAGCCCATTGTTCCAAATGGGCACAAAACTCACAGTTCTGCAATGTTTCCCCCATCCGGCAGCCATTTTCGTGCCCTCGGTAAGCGCTGCGCGCGGCCATTTCGGGCATCCGGCGGCCATTTTGGAACCGCCGAACAGCTTACTGATCGTCGCTAAGCGATTTCCGGCCATTGGAACCATTGGTATGCCTTCGCATTAGCGATCCAAAAAAAAAAAAATGGATCGCTATGCAAATTCGCCGTTATACGGTGCGCTCGTTAAGCGAGGCACCACTGCACTGTGGCTCATCATTGGGAAGAGGTGAACTACACCTTTCAGAATCCCCTAGCAAGTATGACCACTGGCCAGCCATGCTAGCTGAGAAATCTTGGGAGTTACAGTCCAATAAATAGCATTTCCATGTCTTGTTGTGGCCACAGGGTTTTTTTTTAAAACAAAAATTGGACAGAACAATTACCAGAGGTTCATCAGGATCTGAATCATAGGCAATTTCAAGATTGTAGATAAAGGGTAGAGTAGTGTTAATGTCAGAACTTGTGCATTTAAAAATACGTTCTTGCGCTTTGGGATAAAATAAAAGCAAAACATAGAATTGTAAGATTAAAGCATGCAGTGAACAGCTTATTTGATGTGAAATAGGCAAAGGTTTAACAATAGCTTATCTGAGCATTATGTTCA